CAGTTTCCCATCTCCCAGGAGAAAGTAACAGCACATCTTGGCATCCTCACATCTCCAAGGATGACCACAGGCGCATCCAGGCACCCTCTCAGCTCCTAGAAGAGAGTCATAGGCACATCCCGGCATCCTCTTATCTCTCAGGAAAGAGTAATGGGTGAATCCCAGCATGCTCCCATCTGCCAGGAGAGTCATGGGCACATCCTGGCATGCTCCCACTTCCAAGGATGGTCATGGGCACATTGTGGCATACTCCCATCTTGCAGGAGGATCATAGGGACATCCTAGAATCAGTCATCTCCCAGGATGATCACTGGGGCCTTCCAGCATCCTCCCATCTGCTAGTGGACCCATGCCAGCACACTCCCATCTCTCAAGAGGGTCATGGAAGCCTCCCAGCATTTTCTCATCTCCCAGGAGAAAGTCTAAGGCACATCCAGCATGCTTCCATCTCCAAGAATGGTCATGGTTGCATCCTGGCATCCTCACATATCCCATGAGGGTCATGGACCCAGCCTAGGACTCTCTCATCTCCCAGGATGGTCATGAGCCCATCCTAGCATTCTCTCATCTTCCAGAAGGGTCATGGGCACCTCCTGGCACCCATCTTCAAGTATGGTCATAGGTGCATCCTGGCACCCTCCAATCTCCCAGGAGAGAGTCATGGCACATCCTGGCATCCTCCTATCTCCCAGGAGACATTCACTGGCACATCCTGGCATCTTCTCATCTCCCAGGAGAGAGTCATTGGTGCATTCTGGCATCTTCCCATCTGCCAGGAGAGGGTCATGCACACATCCCAGCATCCTTCCATTTTCAAGGATAAACAAGGGCATATTCTGGCACCCTCCCATTTCAAAGAAGGGTTATGGAGGCATCCCAACATTCTTGCATCTCCCAGGATGGTCATGGGCCCATCCTGAAACCCTCCCATCTCCCAGGATGTTCATGGGCCTATCCTATCATCCTCTCATCTCCCAGAAGAGTCATGGGACATCCTAGAATCCTCCCATCTCCAAGGATACTCATGGACCCATCCCGGTATCCTCTCATCTCACAGGATAGTCATGGGCACATTCTTTCATTCTCCCATCTCCCAGAAAGATCATGGTCACATTCTAGAATCCTCCCATCTCCCAGAATGGTCATAAGCACATCCTGGCATCCTCCCATCACCTAGGAGGGCCATGAGTGTATCTCAGCAATCTTTCATCATCCAGGAGAGAGTAATGGGCTAATCCCACCATCCTCCCATCTCCCAGAACATAGTTATGGCACATCCTCTCATGTCCCAGGATGGTCATAGGCACATTCTGGCACCTTCCAATCTCACAGGATGGTCTTGGGCACATCCTGGCATCCTCCCATCTCCCAAGAAGGTTTTGAGTGCATCCTGGCACCCTCCATCTTCCAAGATGGTCATGGACACATCCCAGTACCCTCCCATCTTCCAGGAGAGAGTAATGGCACATCCTGGCATCCTTCTGTCACTGAGGATGGTCAAAGGTACATCCAAGCATCTTTCCATCTCCCAGAAAAGAGTCATGGTTACATCCAGGTATCCTCCTATTTCCCAGGATGGTCATGGGCACATCCTGGCACCCTCCCATCACCTAAGATGGTCATGAGCACATCCTGGCATCCTCTTGTCACCGAGGAGAAAATCATAGGCACATCCTGGCATCCTCCCACCTACCACAAATGAGTCATAGGGAAATCTCAGCATCCCACCATCCTCCAATCTCCTAGGATAATCATGGGCCCATCTTGCCATTCTCCTATCTTTCAGAATGGTCATGGGCACTTGCCAGCATCTTCCCATCTCCAAGGATGGTCATGGAAGCATTCCAGCAACCTCTCATCACGGCATCCCAAGGATGCATCATGGCATCCTTCTGTCTTTCATGATAATCATGGGCACATCTCATGACTCCCATCTCCCAGGAGGGTCATGGGTGCATTCCAGCATTTTTCCATCATCCAGGAGAGAATCTAGGGCACATCCCGGCATGCTCCCATCACCAAGAATGATCATGGGCATATCCTGACATCATCCCATCTCCCAGGAGAGCCATGGGTACATTTCAGCACCTTCCTATCACCAGAAGAGGGATATGAGCCCATCCTGGCATCCTCTTATCTCCCAGAATGGCCATGGGCACATTCTAGCATCCTCCCTTTTTTCATGATGGTTATGGGCACATCCCAAGATATTCCCATCTCTCAGGATGTCACAGGCACATCCTGGCATTCCCATGTCCCAAGAAAGAGTTATGGGCCCCTCCCAGCACCCTCCCATCTCCAAAGATGGTCATGAGCACATCCTGGAATCTCCCATCACGCAGGAGGGAGTCATAGGCATATCCTAGCATCTTCCCATCTGCCACAGAAGGATCATTAGCATATCTTCGCATCCTCCCATCTCCTAGGATGGTCATGGGACATCCCAGCATTCATTCATCTCCCAGGATGGTCATGGACCCATCCTGGCACCCTCCCATCTCCCAGGAAGGTCATGGGGTCATCCAGGCACATTCCTATCTCCCAGGATGGTCATCGGCCCATCCTAGCATCCTCTCATTTCCCAGAAGAGTCATGGGTGCCATCTCAGCATCCTCCCATGTCCCAGATTGTCAAGGGTCCATCCCGGCATTCTCCCATCTCCCCGGATGATCATGGGCACATGCTGGCATCCTCCCATCTCCCAGAATGGTTATTATATCATCCTGGCATCCTTCCATCTTACAAGAGAGAGTCATGGTACATCCCGGCATTCTCCTATGTCTCAGGAGAGGGTCACAGGTGCATCCTGGCATCCTCCCATCTTCAAGGAGTCATGGGCACATCTTGGAATTCTCTTGTCTCTCAGGAAGGTCATGGGTGCATCCTGGCATCCTGCCATTTCCCAAGAGGGTCATGGGTGCATCACGGCAACCTTCCATCTAATGGTGTTCATAGGTGAATCCCAGCATCCTCTCATCTCTAAGGGTGGTCTTGGGCACATCTCTGCCTCTTCCTATCTTCCAGGAGAGTCATGGGTACATCCTGGCATCCTCCCATTTCCAAGGAGGGTCATGGGCACATTCCAGCATCTTTCCATTTTCCAAAATGGTCATGGGTGCATTCCAGCATCCTCCCATCTCCCAGGAGAAAGTCATGGGTACATTCTGGCATCCTCCCATCTCCCCGGATGGTTTGGGGCATATCTGGGCACCCTCCCATCTTCCAGGATGGTCATGGGTACATCATGGCATCCTTCCTTCTTTTATGATAGGCATGGGAACATTGTGGCATCCTCCTATCTCCTACAGTGGTCATGGGTGCATACTGGCATCTTCCCATCTCCCAGGAGGATTATGGGTGCATGCAGGTATTGTCCCTTCTCTCAAGATGGTCATGAGCGGAACCTGACTTGGCAGGGAGGCCAGGCAGATAAAGCTCTGGGCTCTCCCCAACGGAACCACAGCCAGCAGGTTGCATAATCCCTTTATTTGCCAGAGGTACATTCTGTCCAGAAATCCGTCTCCCAGGAGAGTGTCATGGGTGCATCCTGTCATCCTCCCATCTTCCAGGAGACAGTGGTACATCCTGGCTTTCTCCCATCTTTGAGGATGGTCATAGGCACATCTGCCACCCTCCAATCTTCCAGGATGGTCATGGGCACATTTTGGCATCTTCCCATCTCCCAGGAGGGTTGTGGGCATGTCTCGGCACTCTCTCATCTTTCAGATGGTCATGGGCGTGTCCTGACATCTTCCCATCTCCCAGGAGAGCATCATGGGTGCATCCTGGCATCCTCTCATCTTCTAGAAGAGGGTCAAGGATGCAATCCAGCATCCTCCCATCTCCCAGGATGGTCATGGGTGCATCCCATCACTCTCATCTCCAAGGATGGTCATGAGCACATCCCATCATCCTCCCATCACCCCAGAGAGAGAGAGTCTAAGGTGCATCTTGGCATTCTCCCATCTTCCAGGATTGTCATGGGCACATCTTGACAATCTCTCATTGCCAAGGAGAAAGTCATGGGTGTATCACAACACTCACCCATCTCCAAGGATGATCATAAGCACATCCTCCCTTCTCCCAGTAGGGTCATGGACATATACCAGAATCCTCCCATCCCAGGATTGTCATGAGTGCATCCTGGCATCCTCCCATCTCTAAGGAGGGTCATGGGCACATCCTGGCATCCTCTTATCTCCCAGGAGAGAGTCATGAGCACATCCTGACATTCTCACATCTCTCAGGATGGTCATAGGTGCATCCTGGCATCCTCACATCTTCGAGGAAAGAGTAATGGTACATCTCAGCATCCTCTCATCTCCCAGGGTCACAGGTGCATCCTAGCCACCACTTACTTCCCAGGAGAGTGGCAAGGACCCATCACAGCATCCTCCCATCTCACAGGAGAAGGTCATAGGTGCATTCCTCCTGGGGAGGAGCAACACCACTGCTCCTACCGCAGCTCATTTCCTCTTGGGTTACACATCTGCATCCGGACACCAAAGGCCACACTTCGCTTCTTGTACTCCCATGGTTTTGGGATGCATGCTGATCCACTGGGCACAGGAAGGGCACCCTCTCCTTACTGGGAAACCAAGGCATCGGGGCTGAGCTAGGAAGGGGACCTGCAGGGAAGGCGAGGGCTGGGTCTGGCTTTGCACAGGCCAGACCGGACCCCAGAAATGGAATGCCTGTGAGGCGGGCTCAGCAGAGGCTGAGGAGAGACTGAGCCCAGAGCCAGCAGAGCGGTGAGGGAGGAGTGCATGGCCCCAGGAAGGTGGAAGAGGTGAGGGAGTGAGCAGAGGCAAGGAGGCCAGGCAGATAAGGCTCTGGGCTCACCCCCGTGGGGCCGTAGCCAGCGGGGTTGTGTAATCCCTTTATTTGCCCAGAGTCGCATTTTGTCCAGAAACTCTCTGTCCTGAGAGGTGACTCAGAGAAGGCACCCAGCAAGGACTGGAGTGAGCCAGAGCCCAAGGTGGTCCGCCGCTGCCCTGAGGATGGCAGTCCTCAACACCACCGTCTCGTTCAACTTCAGCCTGCCACCCAACTATGGCAAGCGGCCAAGTGACTGGGCACTCAAGGCAGTCCTCATCTTTGGGCTGTTCTTCACCATACTCTTGCTGGGCTGCACCATGGAATTCGGCAAGATCAAAGCTCACTTGTGGAAGCCCAAAGGACTGGCCATCGCCCTGGTGGCGTAATACGGCATCATGCCCCTCACAGCCTTTGCGCTGGGCAAGGTTTTCCGGCTGAGCAACATCGAGGCGCTGGCCATTCTGGTGTGCGGCTGCTCCCCGGGGGGCAACCTGTCCAGCATCTTCAGCCTGGCTGTGAAGGGGGACATGAACCTCAGGTAGGCTTGGGCCACAGGGGAGACGTCACTGTTGCAGGGAAGTGCCGGGCGACAGCCGGGAGAGGGAGTGATGGGCATGGGCGGAGGCCAGGGCAAAGGGGCCAAGCTGATCTAAGAGCAACCAGGAGACACCGACTCCCAGACACCTCTCAAGGATCACCTTGGAGGAGCACTGATTTAAGCGCAAGAGCCCCTGGATAACTGTCCCATCGATTGTGGTGGGCGAGTTGCCTGCTTTGAGGCTGGAGAGCAAGGGGGTGCAGTGGCTCCAAACATCGCCAGGGAGAGTGCGGTGACTTGGAACCCAGGCAGGCAAGAACTTCCAGAAGGTCCTCCCAATCATCTGGAAGTTTGGGCTTTCTGCTCTTTAAGGCCTCTCATTCCCTGTCAGCCACAGCAACGCCTCCACGCAAAGGCACAACTAGGGAGTTTGGCCAAGCCTGTGGCGGGGGGTTGGCAGCACCCCCACCCACCCATGCAGAGCATCATTACCCAGGCCCACTCCTGGAGGCCCAGCATGGGGGCTCTGGCCTCGGACCCCTGAAGGAGCCGCGTCAGACCAGCTCCAGTTCCAGCGCTGTGAGGAGGCAAGGGACACACCCCAGCAGAAGCGTGTGCCTTCGGCCTGAGCCTTGGGCTCAAGTCAGAGGCCTGGCTCAGCCCTCGGCAGAGACGCTATTCCACATCAGGGACAGGACAACCTGGGATCCGGAGAGGCCCTGCTGTGCCTGCCACCATGCTGCCCCACCCAACTTCACCAAGTAAACCAACCAAGTCAAGCAGCCAGTCCTAATGACACGGAATGACCCTGGGACAGGTTTTTCAAGGAAACAGGCGAGTGTGAGGGTTGGATTTAGTGGGACCCATCATCCGAGAAGCTCTGGGCTCTGTCCCCTATGAGTCAACCCTTGCTGGCAGGGTCAGTGGGATGCAAGGCACAGAGAGGGGACCAAGCTGGTGGGAATTGCTTTCAATGTTCAACTGCCCCACTGCAAGGAAATTCCTTCCTCTGTCTAATCCACATTCTTCCTGCTGCTAAGCACACCCCCAGTCTTCAATCTGACCTGTGGACGAGGCTCCCAGCAGCCTCTGCGTCCAAAGAAACCCAGACCATGCCTTCATTTGGGTGGAAAGGGATGCAGGAAGTGGAACTGGGCAGGGGAACCCTGAGGGCTTTGTGTATCAGGACAGAAGCAGAGCAGCAGGGGACAGCGCAGAGGACAACTGGAGGTTTTCAAGGGTGAGTGGCCAGACGTCCCAGCTCATGGCCAGCAGATGCCTAGGACGCCTGCTTCTCTGTGGTCCAGGCCTCAGGCAGCCAGATCCCTGGTGACCCAACATGACCCCTTATGCTGTCCTGCTCAGCCTTCTTGTCCTGGTGACTGTCACTTCTGCCTAGACCTCACAAGAGACAACGCTCTGCTGGGACAGCCACTTTCTGCCATAAACAAACCACCCTCCCACACACTGAACCATGCCCAGACCCCACGGTGGAGTGGGAGTCTCACCACCCACCACCAGGTACTGTCAGACCTGACTCCAGCTTGAGTTCATCCGAGATAGCTTGCTCCACATGCTACAACCCTGTGTCCAGGTAAAGCATGTGTGGGTTTCACGCAGCCCCTCCACCCCAGAGCAGGCACCGTCACTAGCCACATCTAGCAACGGGAAGCTGAGTCTCAGAAAGGCCAGTGCACTCACTCTAGGCCTGAAGCCGGAATGTCCATAAACAAACAGAGGCAACGGACTATCTGCCAGCCTCAAAGTCCTAGGCAGGAGTCATGTGACCCAGCAGCAGGTGTCCTGTGGGTGCAGGACCACTGTCGCCATAGCATCCTGCTTTTCCAGAGCGGGCAGAATCTCCGCTTTTATGTGAAGTTGGCAACTCATCCGAATTTTGAGCCAAGATTGTGCAACCCAAACATACACATAGAAGGGGCAGGTGTTGCCCCAGGCCCCAGGGTGGGCCTCTTCAGGCACAACACTCTGCTCTTTCCCACTGGGAGGTGGGGAGTAATTGACAACCTTGACTATGTTTTGCATGTGAGGAGGCCGAAGTCCTGAGACCTGCCAGAGGTTTCCCGAGATTCGTGCGGAGCTCTGTCTAGAGCCAGTCCAGAGCTCTCCCCCTCCGGTTACTCTGCCTCGTAGCTGGGGAGAGGTTGGGGACAGCTGACATCACAGGAGGCAGGGCCACCCAGTGGGTACCTCAATGCAGCCAGGCATGAAGCGCCTTCCTCAAGGACACTGCTAGACTGGCCCCAAAACATGTAGGTGACCAGGGCAAGAGGACATGCCCTCAGAGCTGAAGTGAGCTTGGCTTGTCGGGGACAGAGGAGAGCGTGCCAGGGAAAGGTGGCCTCCCGTGACCACCCCCTACCTCCCTGCTCACAGCAGAGCCCTGAACCAATGGTTGTAGGGACAACAGGCTTGGACACAACCTGAGCACTCCATAGGTATTCTTGCCTTGAGAGAGGAAGCCTAACCAAGGCGAGCTGGAAGCCATCGGTGTTCCCAGAAGTTTCTCATTTCATAGGCACTCTGAAGGGTCCCTCACAGCTCCTTCATGTTCTGCCTCCAATATCTCCACTGACTGGGGGTCAAGACCAGTCCCTAAAACAGGACATACAGATGTCCAAAAGCAGGGTCTGTGCAGTGCTTTCAGAACTTAAGCAGGAAGGAAAAATAAAACACCAAATGGAGCCAGGCACGGTGCTCACCCTTGTAATCCCATCACTTTGCGAGGCTGAGGTGGGAGGATCGCTTGAGCCCAGGAGTTCAAGATCAGCCTGGGAAACATAGTGAGATCTTTAAAAAAAAAAAAACATTTTTTTTTAATCAAAAAATTAGCCAGGCATGTGGCATGCATATAGTCCCAACTATTGGGAGGTTGAGGTGGGTGGATTGCCTGAGCCGAGGAGGTGGAGACTGCAGTAATTGTGATCGTACTGCTGCACTCCAGCCTGGGAGACAGAATGAGACCTCAACTCAAAAAAAAGTGCCCCTTTCCCCAAGAGGTAGCTAGGCCCACGAGGTTATCATGGTTCCAATCTCAGGAGTTGGAGTCTGGAACAGTTACCTTCCATTCCTGTCCCTTGGGGTGAGCTGAGGGTCACAACAGTCACAGATACCAGCAGACTAGGAGACAGATGTTCCTGACCAGTTCCCAGCACCTGTGCTTGGGGAGGAAGCATTCTGGGTTCTGGGATAATCTCACCCGCCTGCATACTCAAACTGACAAGGCACACCAAGTCCAAGGACAAACTCTAAACCTCTGCACACCAAGCCAAAGTAAGCATGACTCATAGCTGGGAGGAGACTGGGGACAACTGACATCACAGGAGGCAGGGCCACCAGGTAGGTCCCTCAGTGTAGCCAGAGCAAACACACAAGTTATGTGTGACTCTTCTTCTGAGATCAACAGCCAGCGCTGACACCCCTGGGCCCCTCCCAGTCTCATTCCCTGCTACTACCCACCAAAGAAGCACTCCACGGGACTTGATGCTGAGCATTCCCATGGACCCAACTGTGACCACAAACATGTCTTCATAAACAAGTTGTGCTGCAGGTTTTTAAATTGTACATGGGCCAGGCTTGGTGGCTCAGCCTGCCATCCCAGCACTTTGGGAGGCCGAGGCGAGTGGACTGTCTGAGCCCAGGGGTTCAAGATCAACCCAGGCAACGTGGCAAGACCTCGTCTCTACAATAAATAAAAAATGAGCTGGGCGTGGCAGCCTGCGCCTGTAGTTCCAGCTACTTGGAAGGCTGAGGCAGAAGGATCACTGGAGCTTGACGCTGGAATGGCCTTGAGGATGCCATAGCACTCCAGTCTGGGCGATAGAGTGAGACTCCAGCTCAAAAAAAAAAAATTTACACAAACAGTATCCTACTGCCTTGTCGCTTGACACCCTACTTTCATGAAGAGACAGTTAAATAGAATAACTCCTTCTGCGTCTGGATGCTTAGTTTGCTTGTACTTGTCCATTATCCTGTGGCCAGGGTCCATGTGGATTTCATGTCTTGCTTCTGTGAAGAGTCTTGTGCATGTGTCCTTGTGCCCACATAGGAGGGAGCATGTAGGTAAGGCAGGACTGCTGGGCCGTGGAGTCATACATCCTAACACGCTCTGAAACCTTGGCTCTAGGCTGCTCTTGATGTTTAACTAAGCCATACTCCACCTCTGTGGAAACAGTGAAGAAGGGCAGATAGAGGGCAGGGGTGGGACACACTTGGTGGGGTTTTCCTGGGGTCTTGCCAACCCCTCCACCTTCCCACTAGAACAGAAGCCAGAGTCATGTATCATTACTGTGAATGCCCACGAACCCAAGAAGATCCCCTACAACTTCCTCCTCAGCTGGCCTTTCTAGAGGGCTTCTCCCTAGACAGGGTCCTGGGACTAACACACACAGAATTCCAAACAGGAAAGGTAACTGGACAAGTAGGATACAAATGATCCGGGCTCACACTCAACTATCTTAAATATATAAGGAGGAACCCAAAAGTAAGGAATATGAGAACGTCCGTGTTGGGGACTAGAATACTATCCAAGACACAAAGTAAGTCTGACCAGGGCATCCTGTCCCTGACTCAACAACAGGAAGGAGTAGCTGCTGCCTCCTCCATGGCTCTGCCCCTGTGGCCCTCCCATTATTCTGTTTCTTCGGCTTTGCTGTTTCTTTTTCCTAGCAGGCTTCTTGGTTGTTGCCTGGCCGTCACTCCCATGCCACCCATCCCCGAGGGCCAAGTGCTCTGCCACTGTGTCTCACAAAGCCCCTGAGAGGTAAAATGTACCTGATGTAGCTAATCCTCCTCATCTCCATCGGACAAAGCTACGACATCAGCCATTCCTAGGCTCTAAACTTAGCGATGGTGGTCAGGTGCTGCTCCATGACCCCACGGGCTACAGTCAGAGTGAGGGCATCACAAAGTTAGCTTCTCCAGAATGGACTTGCATGGGGCAGGGATTCAAAGACAAAAGAGTTCTGTTACAGACGGGGAGATCAGAAAGGCTCCTTCTACAGGGACGCACATAGGAACAGTAGCAGCTCAAGAGGCCTGGGGTTCAAATCCTGTATCAGCCACTAACCACTTTGTGTGACCTGGGCCAAGTCACAGCTCTTCTGGTCCTCAGCTTCCTTCCCAGCGAGAAGACAGTCTGTGCCCTGCCTAGGGACATGGGGAAAGGAAAGGAGCAATGCCCATGAAGCACCCAGCAGCGCTTGGCATATTGCAGCCTCAGCCCAGAGGTGTGCGCTAACAGCTCTCTGTGTCTCCCTCCAGCATTGTGATGACCACCTGCTCTACCTTCTCTGCCCTGGGCATGATGCCACTCCGCCTGTACATCTACTCCAGGGGGATCTACGAGGGGGATCTGAAGGACAAGGTGCCCTATGGAAGCATCATCATATCGCTGGTTCTGGTCCTCAATCCTTGCACTACAGGGATCATCCTCAAATCCAAGTGGCCACACTGCATCTGCAGTGTCATCAAGGTAAGGACCAGCACCATCCACAACGATGAGGTATAATCATCGTGATCAAAATATGAAACTTGCATCATGTTCCTGCTAGATGCTAAGCTCTGTGTTCTGAACTCTGAGGGGTCACTGAACTCTTGAGACCTCAGGTCAGACCTGAGGTCTGACATTTGCAGAAAGAATCATATGAAAGAAACAAGACCCAACACCAAAGCACAAGCAAGTCCTGGCAGAACGCCAGGGGGGAGATTAGTGAGGGCCAAGGGGCTTCTAGAGGGGAGGGGCCTGAAATGGGCCATGAAAAAAGAGTAGGATTTAGGTAACCTCAGGGAGACATGGAATAAGAGTGAGTCCAGGAAGTACCAAGGGCAAACATGGCACACTTAGCAAGAGGCTGGAGGGAGGAGATCCGGGAGGAAGTGTGAGGATCCTAGGGGAGGAGAGGTGGGGACACACCCCAGGTGCTTCAGGAGGGTGGTGGCAGAGTGAAGGGAGTAAGGCCACAATGGGCTTGGAAGAGTCTGCGGTCACGGGCAGGGCACCGTGTCACTGCCTTGCCATGGAAGAATGCCAGACTCCAGGAGTTCTCCAACTTTTTCAAGTTGGAGTTGGGCCACGCCACCCTCTCCTCTAGCACCTGTTCATCCCCCAAGGCCACGGGTTCAACCTGTCTCTCTGTCCCTGGATCAATGCCCCTGGCCTGGGACAAAACGGCTGCACGTCAGGTTTCATAGCCCCGTCGCCCTGAGGGTAGTTTTTGCCCTTGTCCTGTCCGAATGCCATGGCCACAGCCCCTCTTCCCACCTGCTGAGGGACATAGAGAAGTCATTCCTGCTCCTTCCCGTGGCTGTCACCCTGCCCCAGCCCGGGTTTATATCCTCCTCTCCGCCCTGGTTTCTGAGACCTCCTTCCACTGAGCAGCCCCCCCAGCAGCCTTTCCTCACTCTCATTTCTGAACGTCTCTGCCTTGGCTCTTTAGTCAGCTGTGATACGGGTCCACACTTCTCTTGTCTTTACAAAGCAAAATAAACCCTTGCTGGGGTTTTATGCGGAAACCACTTCCCCTTCCAGCTAACACTTATCTTTGCTCCCCTTGTTGGTCAGTCTCAAGGAAACTCCCCCTTGCTCCTCTCTCTTTCCCACCCCTCTAGCTCTCTCCGTGTCTCTCCCTTTCTCTCTCCCCCCCCTTCTCTCTGTGTCTTTCTTTATGTCTGTCTCCCTCCCTGTGTGTGTGCATGTGTTTGTCAATTTGTTTCCTCTCGAACGCCTTCCCTTCCACTGCTCCAGAACTCAACAGTTTGTCTTACTTATCCGAACCCCTCTCGTCTCTCCTCCTCAGTCCCCCCCACTCCGAAACTTGACTACTTGCCCACGTTCTTTGCCAAATCCCATAGCTATTTCTCAGTACTTCCTTAGCCTTCTAGCAGCACGGAGCTGACCCCTGCCTCCAAGGCCTTCTGCCTCTGCTTCAGTGACTGAGCTCTGGCTGCTCCTGTGTGCATTCGTCTGATAGAAGGTCTTTCTCCATATCCAGACCAAGTTTTCTGACTCCCTCGTCAGATTTCCCTTATAGCTCCTCAGCATGGGACTGGTCCACCTCAGGTCTGCATCTGCCACCTGCAGGCTTCCAGGACGGCACCACAGCCCTTAACTCTCTCCTGTCAGAATGCATGTCTTAATGGCTAGACTTTCCTGCTGGAATACACCTCGGGCAGGGAAACCTAGTGTGTCCACAGTCAGAGCCATGCCCTCCGCACCTGCTCCTCCCTTCCTCCCCATGGGATGACCTTGGCGAGGACTCTCTGTGCCCAACAGCCTCAAGCACACCCTGCCGAGTCATTTTCCACATTCCCTGCTGCTTCCCTCTTACCCAGCTGCTCCATGATCGTCCTCCCCATGCGCTGCCCGACTCCATCAGCTCCTCTCTAGCCTGACCTCCTGCCAGACACCTGAGGCCGCTTCCACCCAACTCTCTGCCCATTTTCACCTGTGGGTGGAGACAGGAAGTCCAGACTCTGCCATGTCACCCACTGTTGAACCCCTCTTGCTGGCTCCTCACTCCCTCCAGGAGAAAGTGCACGCCCCTTAACATGGCCCCATGGGCCCATCCTGGCTTGGTCTCAGCCAACCTCACCCGGCTCAGTGCTTTTCTTTTTGCACATGCCCTTCCCTTCCCCGGAAACACTCTTCCTCCCATCCCCCATCCTCTCACCATTGCAAACACAAATAGCACCTCCTCCAAGAAGCCCCCAGGCCTGCGTGGGATGCTCGTCCTATTCATTCCTGTAGTGCCTGACACCTGCCAACCTTGTGGCGGTCACCACACTGTATTAGAAACACTCACCTGTTCCTCAAGAAGCACATCCATGGGCTGTTTTACTTTACACGGAACCCACGCACCTACCACACCACCCCCTCACTCCCCCCACTTCTAGCCACTGCCTGAGAACAAAGGAATGAAGGGCAAGTCCCATCTGCTGCTGCCTATCTCTTCCATGCATCTGCAGGGAAAAGGCCAGAAACATGTTTGTGCCCGTTATCTCTTTTTAAAGACAGTCTGTGGAGTGCACAGTAATTTTTTTAACTCAGAATATAAAAGAGTGCAATGACCCCCCCCCACTACCACTTAATGCAACTCTGCCCTCCCCCATTTTACAGGAAGGAAAACCAGGGAGAATTCCAAGCTCACACTGCTAAGAACAACCGACAGGAAAACATATGCAGAATCCCAAGCTCATGCTAATAACAACTAACAGGAGAATACATTATCTCCTTTTTACCTGAGTCACTTTAAAAGTGTTCTTCCGAGGATGCAGAAAAACCAAATCTCAGTCCTTAAGCTGGAGAGGCCCTCACGATGAAGCCCAACCTCATTCCTATTTTGCAGATAGAACTGAGGTCCAGAAAAGTTACAGGATAATCACTCAGACTACTGCTCCTGTTGTGTTGCACATCCACTACTCGATGCCACAGCATCGAGTAGTCAAAATAGTCAAAATGACCCAGAGAACACTGGGCGGGCTAAGCAACACCCAGGCCAGGAGGGCAGGCACAGCAAGAGTCAGTTGCACTCCGTGGGGGAAGGTCACATTTCGATATACCAAGGTACAATTGCAGTGATGTCCATTTTGAAAGTCAACTCAGGTAACTTTGTAATGTGTCCAGGCAGGGTTTGTTCAAAGGCTTTGTGGTCAGAAGGCTGACGAACCCAGGAGCCACTCTCGCAAGCCACCCACACCTCTAGCCAGGATCCTGCCCTACACTTACTCAGTTGCTCTACTTATACTGTCCCCACACCTGCTGCTACTGACCACAACCCTCCTTGGTCTCAGAGCTTCTGCCAACTTGGATTTCTGTTACTCCTGGGCCTGTGTCTTAACACTTGTCCCCCATAATTGCTTCCCTCTCTGTAACCCTCAAGCTCCCTAAAGGAGAAAAGCTGATTAATTCAACCACTCACCGACCTGTGCAGGCCCCTCTGGGGGCAGCAAGCGCAGATGTATCATCTTATGTGTCACCAGTAAGCTGATGGCCTGGCTGCCCACCAACGGGCACTCCTAGCTATGAGCAAGGCAGTTAAGTTGGATGGTGCAAACATGGGACCACGTGGGACCTGTGGGGAACCAATGACCTAGAGCCATGTGTCTCAGCACAAGTTGTAGGTATGACCGATGTCCACAGGTGGTGGGAGTGAGAGGGACAGGAAGCTCTGGAATGTTCAGTTCCTTTTCTTTTTAAGTAATAATCGGAGCTAGTTTAGTGAGTGGTTCTTCTGTGCAGGGTCTTGTGCTGTCAATCTCACTCAAAGGTTGAGTGACGCACCAGAGTGTATAAACCTAGAGCCTGGCAGAACCGAGGTCTGGACTCATAACGATCACTCTGCAGCCCCAAGAGTGGGGGAACAAGAGGGAGGGAATGAGATTGCACACCCAGGGAACGGAAGAGGGCTTCCGCACTTGGCCCAGCTCCTGTAGCCTGGTATCCCCTACAGTATCCACTGTACTCCTTTTGTTGGGGGTAAAAACTATTTGTCCTTGGGCAGAAGACAAACCCAAAAGACAAAATTCCAAAAGAAGTCAACAGAATATGTAAGGGCAAGCTGAACAGCTCAGTTAGTTAACAGGTCTTCGAATGAAACTTGAAGCCCATGGTTACTGATGAGATGTGTGCTAGCCCTTCCTTCCCTGGGACAGGACCACTAGTTGGAACAGGTGATGTTTTGTATGATCACATCAGCTGTATCATGGGTTGCAGGGTGCTGTGGCTTACACCTATAATCCCAGCACTTTGGGAGGCTGAGGTGAGGATTGCCTGAGCCCAGGTGTCCGAGACCAGCCTGGGAAACTTGGCGAGACCACATGTCTATATTAGCTGGGCATGGTGGCACATGCCTGTAGTTCCAGCTACTTGGAAGGCTGAGGCAGAAGGATCACCTGAGTTTAGCAGGTTGAGGCTGCAGTGATTGTGAGCATGCCACTGCACTCCAGCCTGGGTGACAGAGTGAGACTTCAACTAAAAAAAAAAAAAACCCCAAACAACAAAAAAAATGCAAAGCTGTGTAGCTGAAATTTGAGCAATATACATATCAAAATGTCATTAGGACAACATTGTGAATGTATGTGTCACTGAATTGTAGATTAAAAAATGATTTAAATGGCAAATTTTGCCATATATATTTGATAATTTTCTTAAAATCATCATGAGAAAAATAAAGTGCTACAAATGGGTATGAACTGGAAACTGAACCAACATACATAACCATTTCAAAGTAGCATGGGAAGTTTGAGACAAGTTTGCTATATATTCCTTTCCTGAGAAGACAGAAGAGGCAAGGGAGCCTTAAATTCATGCATCCGTGTTTACCATTTGGAGCAGAAATTCTCTAAAATGCATGGAGGTGCACTCTGAACTCCAGCAACCAATGTTACATGATGAACAAATCTGAGCATTATAATTTCATCATAAACTCACATACTGAAAATGTTACATACTACGTAAGATGTAACTATAAAGTAATGAATAACTTCTAAAACCCATGAAAACACGCAGTCACTCCCAATAAACACGGCTTTCACAGTCCTCCCCTGGGGCAGGGTGGCCCTGCAGAGTTTCCAATTAGGTTATTATCCAAGATGCTTCTGATGCTTCTTTGGGGAACTTCCTTCATAACCAGCTGTCATGTCACTTGAGAAAACAGGCTTGTCCCCTTATGGTTACTCATCATTTCAGGTTTAAACTCTATTACATATGGCTTGATCGTTTACCTTATTCACCAACTTCACTTCAAATGACTCTTAGCAATTTCTAGAAGGCAAATTCATCTTAGGAAGAAATCTCTACCTGGGGTGGAAGTGTTCTAAAGCATGACAAGCTCTAATACATTCCAAAATCTCTGGAACAATGACAATGTTGTAGGTTACATAGGTTTCAAAACTAATGACCTTGAAATTTTTAATGTATAATATGAACCTTGCAGGAGGGTTTGCATGGTCTCTTGGGAGCTAGTCCTTCCCTGAAACCTGCCAACCAAAAGTGCGTCAAAGCAGAAGTGTGCCCGGCTGTTTTCAGTCACAGAAGTGCTTGCTCATCAGCTCTCTGTCCTCCAAGCTTTCAGCGACCAATGAGAAACCTAAAAATGTGGGCAACATGGGTCTCTCATGTTTCTTTCCACTTCCAGCATCTATTGTTTCACCTGTGCCTCCTTACCTGCTCCCTGTCCCCTACCCTTCCAATGACCTTTTCTTTTTGTCTCAACCCTAGGGAGGGTTGGTCATCATTTTGTGTATTGTGGCCTACATAGTCCTGACTGTCATCAATATGGGCAAGAGCATCATGTTTGCCATGACACCACACTTGCTGGTCACCTCCTCCCTGATGCCTTTCATCGGCTTCCTGCTGGGCTATGCTCTCTCTACCCTCTTCTGCCTCGATGCACGGTAGGTGTTTCAGGTCCCACTGTCCCATGGGGTTCACTCCTGTGCTAGTTGCTCAGGAAAAGGAGGAGCTAGGAGTCTGGGATCTGGGCAAGGCATTTTCCCAGCAATACACTCAAATGTCCCAAGTGAACATGGAGCCTTAGACAGTAAGAAATATTCAAGGGAGGGAGGGTATTGAATGGGTTAAAAATAGAAGTTAAATCCAGACACCAAAGGCATCATCCAAGCAACAGCTAACAGCAAAGTAGCCCCCTCCAGAGTCTAGATTTGGTCTCCTGTCCAACTCCTTGGTAGTTGGTAGCTGGGGCAATTTCATGTCATCCTGACAGGTGTTGAGAACATTCCTTTTCCTTTCCCACTTTTCCTCCCTTTCTGCCTAGGCTTCAGTCCCAGGGAAAGACCACCACTGGGTGACAGCTCTGCTAAGCAGTACTCAGAGAAGCACCTGTGGACTTTGGCTGGCGCAACCCACTTCCCTCTAGCGGACGCCCATCTGAGGGAATGGGGCACGAGCCATAGGCACCCTGACTATGGGGCAGTGCAGGGACCTTTTCCTCTTCAGACACAGAAGACAAATGCTCACACAGGAGTCTTACCATCAGCAGCACCCACCAAGCAAAACCACCAGATTTATTTTAAAAATACAATTAAAAAATAATTATCCATTTCTAAATACATGTTAATTTAATAAAGAACAAACTACAGAACGTAACACATGATGATATGGTGGGTCCAAAGGCTGCCAATGACCATTCAGCAATGTCAGTTTTCATCTAAAAGGGCTATAACGAATGGTCACAGAGGCAAGTGCCATCACAGTGAACTCCCTCAGAACTCAGAAATTAACCAATTTAAAATAAAAAAATAAAGATGCCCAAGCCAGAAATTGGAAACAGGACAAGATTTCCAACATTTCAGACAAATCTTCTACTGTATGTTGGAAACATCACTGTCCCATAAACCCAACATAACAAACCAACTAATGTGACACCAGCTCACACCACCACCCTTCACTGGCCAAACATTTCTCACAATTTTAATTCAGCAATCCTACAAAAATAGATGAATCACAAGACTTCCAAGCTACTCACAATCCCCCCAAGCTTCCTGACATAAGCCTCCTGGTCACCATCCCCCCACAGGATGTCAAGTGGGTCTACATTTCTTTGAACCCATGAGCACAACACACTGGACTATTCATGGTTTCCAGAGAATCCAGGAGGGTGGGAGGAAAGGTACAAGCCACCATGCTCCACATTTCCTCCCTGAGTGCTCGTGGACTTGGTTTTCCCACCTACACAGGTGTAGCCGCACTGTCGGCATAGAGATCGGATTCCAAAACGTTCAACTTTGCTTCACCATCCTCAATGTGGCCTTCGCTCCTGAAGTCATTGGGCCACTTTTCTTCTTTCCTCAATTCTACATGATGTTTCAGCTGGGAGAAGGGTTTCTCCTTGTCACCATCTTTTGGTGCTATGAGAAAATCATGGCTTCCCAGGGTGAGTACTCATCCTCCTTCCATATGGGACCTGAGCCTGCCAACAAGGAAGCTTTTAGCAGAGACTTTCTGGATGACGCTTTAGCTCATTTCAAGTCCCTGAGTCTAGGTAGCACCTCCAAGTAGGCAAGACCTTAAAAGGCCAAGACAACTCTGAGACTACACTCCAATTGTCTTCCAGCTAGGGGTCGAACTGTGGCTGCAGGTCCCCTCAGGACTCACACAAGCTGGCTGCTGTGTATGAGTGGGGACACCAAATCCTTAGTGTGAGGGAAATCAAAATGGCTCAACACTAGACAGGCCCAAGATACCCACTGTGTCAAAGCCCTGTACTCGCAAGAATTCAGGGAGACTGTTTTTTAGGACCAGGTTCTCATATCCGACCTGGCTCTGCACCCAGTACCACTGGCACCCCCATGAGGAAAAACACATGAAAGTAATGCAGCCTAACACAACCCCAAATCCAAAACAAAGAATCAACTCTGACTGCACAGTAAGCTTAAGCTTGCTGAACAAAGACTACCACAACAAACTTAATATATGATTTATACCTTAATCTGATTACTACTGAATTAATGCAGCACCTTTTCTCTAAAATGCTGAGCATTACCTTAGAAATATTATCAAAGCTCAAGACCTGAGGCCCTTCCTCAAAGTACACTTTAACACCAAATATCTTTTTTAAACCATGAAATTCAATCCTACTTTGGAACACATTTTATAGCTCTGAATCTGTGTTCTTCCTAACCACTTACCCAAATCCTTCAACTGTCTCTTAATCCCTTTGAATCTGAAGGTGACTTCAAAGTCTTTTCTAGACCCTGGGGATCGTGACTTACACCCGAGGAGAAATAGACACCTTTCCCTGTTAGAAAAGATGAGTGATCTTGGTTATCAGCAGCCAAAAAGAAACCTAAGTGGGCTGGCCTTACTCCAGAACCATTTTATAGGTCTTGGTTCAAAACTACAGTGGGGTTGTTGTAAGGATCTAGTCTGGTGCTTATCTGAGAAATGCTGCCCAATGAGGTTCCCAGTCTCTTACAAAAAGTGCAAAAGGGGTAAGTTTCTAGACCCACCAACAAGGTGCCCAGGCTTGAGGTTTTAGTCCCAGAACAGCCTGGAGTATCCTCAAAATGGAATATTCTATGAATCTTTAGCTCTCAAGACCTACAGAGTGGCAAAACTAAAAGCAACTTCTCTCTTTGGAGCTAAGGGCCCAAAGCAGCTGCTCTCAGAGTGAAGACAGAGTATTATGCTTTTGACCCCTGTACCGTTCTAGATATGGGACAAGAGGGGACTATGGTCTGCACTATCTTCAAAGCTGTTCCCCTGCACATGGGCAGGAAAAATGGCAGACCAGCTGCGGAGAAAAGGGAGGAGCCTGGAACCTCCTGGTTAGACATACTAAAGCTCCTTCCTCACTCCCTGAGTGCAACCTTGCTTGCCGACATAAGCCCACCCCCCTGCTGCTTTACTGTAAGCAAAGTTCCACCAGTGAGGCCCTTTACTACTAGTACTAACCCTGGGGAGGCTGGAGGAAGTCTGAGTGTAAATCATGGGAGACGACTATAGGTAAAAGATACACATATGGCACACCCTAGGATAAGCTGATTTTTTGTTTTTAGTTGGAGTCTGTCACCCAGGAAGGAGTCAGTGGCACACTCATGGCCACCACAGCCTTGACCTTCTGGTCTCAGGCGATCCTTCCTCCTCAGCCTTCCAAGTAGCTCAGGCAGTCCTCTTGCCTCCACCTCCACAGGTGTGAGACACTGCACTCAGCTTAAGCTGCTATCTTGTATTTTCCAGATTGTCAAGCTGTATCATTCACTGCTATACCTACGACCCTTTTTAACTTCACAGATAAAACAAAAATGATCTACACAGCTGCCCTAACTGAAGACACAACTGCAGCAGCCCTGGGCAATCACACACACAAGGAGTGCTCCCCCACCACAGACTAGGCCTACCCAGCAGGCCAGGTTCTGGTCTCAAGGCAATTCAGAGAGCAAACATACCAGTCCTGCCCGAGTCTCTCTCCAGCACTTTCCAGCAAACTCATTCCCATCAAGTTGTGGCTGGGAGGACAGAGGTGTCTGAAGACTCCCACCTAGCCACCAGCTTCGAATTTAGTACTCATTTAAACAATAAAGAGACTTGTTCAATGACTGCAAACTCCATATCCTCTCACCCCTAGGGCTCTAAACTGGAATTAATGAGCACAAAGCCATGCGATTTCTCACCATGGGAACTAATCAACATAACGGTTTTACTCATTATTCAAATACACAAGTCACACTCCAATTTTTGGGTCTTGAAAGGGAAAAATAAATAATCAAGAGTACAGTAGGATTAGATTTCAGGAGTTCCAACCTACAGAATTCAGACACACTTCTTCTGACATCAGATTAAAACTGAAAACAGGCTGTGCAGTGGCTCATGCCTGTAATCCCAGCACTTTGGTAGACCAAGGCAGGACTGCTGGAGTTCAGGAGTTCAATACCAGCCCGGGCAACAGTGAGACCTTCACTATTATGAAAAATAAAAAAATTAGGTGGGTGTGATGGCACACATCTGTGGTCTCAACTATTCAGGAGGCTGATACAGGAGGATGGCTTAAGCCCAGGAGTTGGAGGCTGTGGTGAGTTGTGATCATGCCACTGCACTCCAGCCTGAGATCCTGACTCAAAAAAAACAAAGGAAAGAAAATTGAGAATACAAGTTAGTACAGAAACTTCTACAGAAAGAAACAAACACACTAACAGAATGTCATTTCACTAAGTTTATCAGGTATGTGGTTTTAACATAAAGCACCCCCAAAACTCGAAGTACAGCAAACTATCGCCAAAATGAATGGTCTCCCCAATAATAAAAAAAAAGAAACCCACTCAGCTAGAATCTGAGAATTTTCTCTAGTAAAATTTACAGATGTTGCATATCACCCGTATCTAAATTAAGGATTAAGTAAGAGATTACAAATATTAGCACTTACATTAACCATGTCACAATACGTGTCATTCTATCATCCAGCAGGTACAAATGAAACCAAGACAGTCAATTCTAGGCCATCAGTCTAGCAGTTATGCAGAACAAGAACTCCCAACACTGAAAGAATCAGCAACTTGGGTCACTAACATCCTCTTAAAAATGTGATGTTTGAAAAGGTCTACTCTCTACCATTTTTTACAGATTATATCCACTTATGCCTACCAGTTCAAATTATTTTCTCTAACATCCAGTGCCTCTAATTCTGCTTTCCTCTAAATCCCTGCTAGACATGGTTACATAAAACCAAGTCATACAAGAACAATGTCGTTTAGCTTTTGAGAAAAAAGAACAATCGGTCTCAAACTGCACTTGAGAGGAATGAGATAAAAGGAACATGAACAGAAAGATTATACCATGATAAAGACTAGTCCCAAAACCTTCCTCAGGAGCACATCCACACACCTCTTGACTTCTCAAGTCCTGGTTCTGAGACTTCCTTTTTGGAACACAATCCAGTTATCTGTCATATTTTTCAAAACAAAAGACTTTCTAAAATTTGTAAGATTAAAAGTAGTAAGGCTTTGACATTTTATTTACACATAAAGACAGAGGAAAAAAAACAATAGCCGAAACATCAAAGAATATACCACTATGCTGTCCTAGAACCATTTAAAGAGCCCAAGAGAAAAAAATTGCCTTTGACAGCAACTTCATACTGGTACTACCACAGACACATCACAAAGAAAGACTATCTACCAGGTTAAAATTAACCCAATTCCCTCAAATAAGTTTACAGGTATACCACTAACACCTAAATTCTGCCTCATATTTAAATCAGCTTTACAATTTCGTGGCAAAAGACCTAGTCTTGAAGAAAGTAGGGAAGTGACCTTTATACAAGGAAACCAGAACCTTTCAATTCTCCCCTCAAATGGAGATTCCCACTCAACCACCTTTTGACTAACCTGAAAAAGTCAAAAATACTACTTAAAAAGAGAGTGACCATAACAAACCCTGGGAATCTGGAGTCGCTGCATTTTAAATGTACTGTATGTATATGGGGATGAGGAATAAACAGCATAGGACTTCTTCAGACAAACAGACAAGGAGTTTTATAATATTTTATTATCAATAACAAACAGCTGCTTTAATGTGTCTGTCCTGCAGCTGTTAAAGGGTGAGTGGGAGTACACCCTTGACCCTAACAAGAAAAACAAATTAAGCCTTTATGTACAAGCAAATTTAGAGCTCTTTTATGTGCCCAAAGCTATTAATTAGCTTAATTGAGGCATTAAACTAATTCTGAATTAACATTTGAATAACCAGGAACTAAAATTTTCAAAATTTTTTCTAGTACAAAAAAATTAAATTTGCTTTAGCTATAAAAGAGCTCTGTCAATATACACAAACTATATACTTCAGACATTCACAAAAATGTGAGCAGAAGGCTTATCAAAAAAGACATTTAATACAATTAGTTTTCAACAACCCCTTGGTGGTCCACATCTACAAAGAAAACCAGCCCAACCCATCCCCCTCCAAACCCCAGCCCCACAGAAAAGCACATACTTACCAGAATTTTTAGCAAGTATGGTTTGAGAATTTGTTTTTGTTTTTGTTTTTTTAAAAAAGGCCCCCAGGGCAAGTTATTTACAGTTTAATTGCCACTGTCAACTGATCTGGACCTTGATCGAGACCGGGACCTCTGGCGATCCACAGATGCTGGAGACTTAGATCTACTTGAAGAACCACGTTTCTGGCTCTTCTCAGGCACGGGAGACCTACTAACAGAACGAGACTTGCTCCGGCTCCGGCTCCTGCTCCTTGACCGGCTGTAAGATTTGCGACTACGGGAACGAGACCGGCTACGAGACCGGCTACGAGACCTAGAGGAACTCCTGGTCCGGGACCGAGACCTGCTTCTTGACCTACTTCAAAAAGGGACAGAAAAGAGGGGAAAATTAGCTAATGTGAAGTGCCCTACAAATCCATCAAATCCAACTTCTGACTTCAAAATATTAGAGATACCTGTGCCTTTTGCTGCCTTCAATTAATTTGATTTTTCTCCCATTTATTTCCTTTCCAGAAAGTTTTTCAATAGCATTCTTTAAGTCACCATAAGAGGCAAACTCAACCACCCTGAAATGGGGAAAAAACATTTTAAAAGTATATCCATCTTCTCATCTCATGTGCTGCATATAGCAGTCTAAGTAAGTTTGTTTCTGCATTCACTTTGCCATTGCTATATTAGGCCTCATTTCTGGATAACAACATTAAAGAACAAGGTTTCAGCACTATTATATTAATTGTGGGGAGCTTTCCTTTGCATTGTGGGATGCTTGGCCTCTACACATTAGAGCCAGTAGCACCCTCAACCAGTGGCAACAACCAAGCATGTCTCCAGACAAAGCCAAATATCCCCTGGGAAGCAAAATTGTTTCTGAAAAACCTCTACCTGAGAGCATATAAGCCCTCAGAAATAGTCATGGTAAATTAACAGGCTATTTTTTAAATCTTATTTAGATATAAAAAGATAGTTTATTTTAAACTATATTTTAAATATTTTTAAGTTAGAGCAAGAAAAAGAAGGGAGAGAGAAGATTCACCTCCCCCAGGTGGTGGAGGGGGCCAAAGTCAGGAAGCATGGTCACACCAGTCTAGCAAGGCAAGGGCGAACAGGCTACTTTAAAAGGCTTTCACAATCTGCAGTACATACTCACCCTTCATTTAATTTAGGTCTATGTGCATCCGCAAAGGTTACCTCCCCCGCTTGTCTCATGAAATCTTTGAGATCCTTAACACAAGATACTTTTGTTAAGCAAAGAAGAGGAAAAGGTGACACACAAACAAGCACATGGTATAAAAACAAGACTACTGAAAGAGAAGATGTTAGATAAAGTACAAACATGGCATTTACCACACTTGTATTCTATCAGAATCCAAAAATTAACTATGCCAGGGCACGAAATAAGCAAATAGCATATTGCTTTTAAGCAAAATGCTAGAGAAAATTCAGATTTTAACATTAAAGTAGTATTAGTCTATACTGAGCTCAGTACAAAAGGAAAAAAAAACAAACAAAAAAACAAACAAAAAAAGAAACAGTACATATTTTTAAAGTAAAGACTAAAGTAGAAAGTTTTATATTTAAAAAACAGAACATATACAAGACACCAGTTATTTTGTGCCCCATATGTCATTAAAAAAGTTTACTTTACCTTTATCAATATTTCCCTAGGCTAGTCAAGCAGCAAACCATTAATCGGTCGAAGAAACCTTCATGACATTTGCCCGACTGGCTCTTCGCCACCCACTTGAAGGACACTACCCAATCGGTGGAAGCCTTTAATCGCACGGCCCTCCCTATTAGCAGACTAGTCGTGGATGCAGACTCGTTCTACTCTTGAGCAGTTATCAAGGACCACTTTACTGCGATCAGGATTCCAACGACCACCTAATTTCGTATCTTTCAACTCTTTTCGACCAGGACCTCTTTATTCGGAAGCGTTACAGGAAGACAGCTCTCAACTTAGGGATCACGTTATCAACGCTCTGGGATCGCTGCAACCCGGCACTTCAAGTAAGTGCACCGATTACGTCTAGACCGGCAAACGCAGATCTAGAGGTGGCCAACTGATCACGGTAGGAGTTGACTGGCAAAGTCAACCAGGCCCAACCAAGAGTGACCAAGACAACGATTAGGATAACCCACAGGCACTCCTCGTCATAAGGCCAACGACACAGATAGGCTGGCAAATAAAGGGTTTAATATTTGGTTAAAATTTATTTTAAAAAACAAGAAAAATATCCTCAAAACATTTACATTTGATCACTAATATTAAATTTTAAATATCCCCCAATTACATTTAATTAAATTTTAAAACTACAATTCCATTAAATCCATTAAATTAATTAAAGTTAAAATTACTTTTAATAAAATATATTACTAAAACATTAGCTACCCATTAACTTTTTTTAAAAAAGCCACATCAAAACAACTCAAAACTGTATTTCAACAAACCTGCCAGCTGACTCTTGAGGATAAATTCTCAACTATAAGCCGATTTTCTGTTCTTACAGGTGGAGCATTTCTGAGGAAGAAAATGAGTATTCACATGGAAGAAATACAGTGACGTGTACTTCCTGTGTTCAACTGTGGACAAGTTCAAGTAATCCGACACAAGTCATTCTGATGACTTCCACCAAGTTTCTGTTATTCTATACTGATTCCTTACATGTAGATTCATCACGGACAGTGAGCGAATAAAGAAATAACAGAACAGATTATACAGTGAATCCCAGGATCATTTACTGTTAATGGCTCCTGAGCCTTAAATGCTGCCCTTCCAATAACGACTGTTCAAAGCAGCCATTCACCAATCACATACCGTCTATCATTTCGAGGTCTGCGACTACTAAAACGGTCAGAGTAGCGTCCTCTACCTCTTCCACCTCGAGACCGAGCCCTAGCATGCTCAATAGTAACCCTACAGAAAGGGGAAAAAAGATCTCGTTACACTTCAAGCTACACGGTCTACTTAGAAAAACACCTCAGCTGACCTAGCCTACCCTTATTCCAGGGCTAACAGTTAAACAACCAAGACTCTCACCTTTCACTACAGAGTTCTTTCCCATCGAGTTCATAGACAGCATCATCTGCATCCCTGGGATCCTCAAATTCCTAAAATACGTAAACACGGGTGGCTCAACAGGGCTCTAAACGAGCCCCACAACGCATTTAACAACACTGGAAGCGTGATGGAAGAGGAATAAACCTGATCGAGGAGCGACGGGGAGGCGGCTCCAGCCAGGTGGGTCCTTTAACCTTAGTCAATCCGCTGCCTTGAGGCTGCGCTGTTCTCAAGACAATTCTGGCACCCAGGACTCAAGATCAGAAACTCACCACGAAACCGAAGCCTCTTTTCAGATCGATATCCCTGATCCGCCCATATCCCTTGAAGAACCGCTCCACGTCCTTCTCCCGGGCCGCTGGGTTCAGCCTCCCGATGAACACCCGACAGCCGCTCATGGTGTCCGGCTAGCGTCTCCTGCTGGAAACAAGCCACGGGGCCACACCGGTGGCCGTCACAAGAAGCGCCGAGGCACGAGACGCTCACCCAGCGAAGCCGGGCTGCGCGGACGGGATCAAAGTCCGGTTCCCACCAGGACCCTCCCCAGGACGCCTCCCCGGCCGGGACCGCAGCAGCCGCAACGCCCACTGCCGCCTCGCCCACTGCGCAGGCGCACGCCCCGCGGCTCCCGGCCCCTCCCATCTGCCGCAGTTCGGAAAGGCCGAGAAGTGCGGGCGGAGCCGGCCCCGCCCTCCGCAGGGCCCGCCCAATGGCGGCAGGCCGCGCGCGCGTCCCCGCCCCCCGACGTCACAGTAGGGAAGGCCGGGATCGCGCGAGGCCGCAGCCGCGTCTGCGCACACGGCGGCGGGCGGGCGCTCCACAGTCACAAGATGGCTGCCGCGGAGAGCAGCGCGAGCCCGCTTCCCGGCTCCTTCCTACTCCCTTCGGCCGCCCCATACCCGCCTCAGGGCCACCGCCACACCCCAAGCAGAGTCAGAAGGGCCCCGACCCACGCCACTCGAAGGGGCCCGATAACGACACGGGTGGCAGGAAGGGGCGCGAGTTCGTGCAAACACGACCACACCCGTGACCGACCGCCCTCCCAGCAGCACCCCGCACACAGTACCAAACGGAGACGAGCCCCAGCGCCCACCTCGAGTCGACTGCGCTCACTAGACGCCATCCTCCGCCAAGAGCGCGGCCCCGGCCGCTCGCCACCTGGGCGGCCATGGAGTAGCCTCGATCCGAGAAGCCTTGCCCTCAAAGCGAGCCACTCACCTACCAGACGTGATCTCTGGCGGCTGAGACCCGGAGAGGGCCGTAGTCCGCGACGGAGCCGTCTGCCTCCACGCAGGACGGGACTCAACTCGGCTACGTCTCTCCACAACTGACGCACTTCGCGGCTCCGGCGCTCCACAAAATGGAAGGCGCGTTCCTGCGTCACTTCCGGGGCCGCGCCTGGGTTTGGGAACCCACTCCCGTGGGATCCGGGACCGGAAATTTCGGCGGGACCGGAAGTGACTGGAGGCGGGGCCTCCTTACCTTGACCCCGCGAGTCACTCTTGCCCCGTGGTGGGAGGGGCCGGGAGCAGGGACTGGCGGGGGTGCGGTCGGCGGGCTAGGGCGGCCTCCGCAGTGGTTCGCTCCTTCTGGGCCCTGGAGTTGGGCTCGTGGTCGTCTTTCCCATAAGAGTCTCGTAACACAAGCGCCCCTGCTTTGTGTCTGTAGTTTTTGCTAGGTACCCGGAAGATGACATTTTTAAAAGGACGCAGGCTTTTCAAAAATGGCCTTCTTGACTTGTTGTTGCTTGTAGCATAACGTCGCCCTCATGGCAGCTCCTTGATGCTCAAGTGAATACTTATCCTTTCTAGACACTGCATCTCGCTCTGTCGCCCAGGCTGGAGTGCAGTGGCATGATCATAACTCACTGCAGCCTCTCCTGGGGCAAGCAATCCTCCCACTCCGTCTCCCGAGTAGTTGTTACCACAGGCTTGTGCCACCACCGGCGGCTAATTTTTAAATGTATCGTAGAAGCCGGCTCGGTGGCTCAGCCTGTAATCCCGCACTTTGGGAGGCTGAGGTGAGTGGATTGCCTGAGCTCGCGGGTTTGAGACCCGCCTGGGCAACTTGGCGAGACCTCATTTCTACAATAAATAAAAAAAATCAGCCGGGCGTGGTAGCGCGCGGCTGTAATTCCAGCTACTCGGAAGGCTGAGGCGGAAGGATCGCCGGAGCCCAGCAGGTCGAGGCTGCGGTGGCCGGGAGCGGCCACTGCACTCCAGTCTGGGTGACAGAGTGAGACTCCAACTCAAAAAAATAAAAAATAAAATAAAAATAAAAAAATAAATGTATGGTAGAGATGGAGAAGGGGGTCTCAGCTGTGTTCCCCCAGGCCGGTCTCGACCTCTTGGCTTCGAGCGATTCTCCTACCTCGGCCTTCCGGTGCACTGGGATTTCAGGCCTGAGCCACCGCACCAGGTCTTGAAGTGAATAAATACTTCATGCCTCAGATGTGTGATTTCGTTGTAGTGAGAAGACTAAAGAACTGAAATGTGTTTTAAATGGAAGGTTTTTGTGTGATGAAGTGTTGAAACGGGGACCGCAGCTAGAAAGCCATCTTGAAATGAAGCCGGAATACAGATTACTTCATTTCTGTCACGCTGGGACTGAACTGGATGGAAGAGGTTTCGAGCTGCTTTTAAGTCCAAATGATATTTGGTTAGGCCTCCCTGTTCAGGTTTCTGTAATGTAACACATAGAACTCCACAGTTCTTCGGAAACAGAATCTTCTGCTCCCAAAGTGGGTGTGAAATGATGCCCTCCACGTTCTTAACTCCAGCGTTTTCCTCGTAAGGTCGGTGGGCCTCATCAACAAGGGTGCCTGCATAATCAACGTTTGTATAACTAACCCTGAATTGTACCCCACATCTTTATAATTTAAAAAAAGAATTTTAAAAAGGGTCATTTTTCTTTAATGCTTTTAGGTGGAGCACAGGGTACCCCATGTTTGAGAAGTGCCCAGCATCTAAGCTTGCCTACTTGCATCTAGAGTTACACGAGATAAAATAGGTAGATAAGAAGGTGAGCAGCCCACCCTCACTCTGGGACCCTATGGGCTGAGTGTGTTCATTTATGTGGTTGGTTATAGGTGCAAACAAAAAGAGCCTCAGTGGGCTTATGACAACACTGTGAAGTCATTTATGGTGGGGGAGTTAAGGATGGGTTTAAGAGAAGATAACATACTGTTAGCTGTGGCCGAATAAACATTGGCATTGTATAATGCACAAATTTGCCCCAAACCAGTTTTTATTTAACTGGTTTCTGCATAATTTAAAAAAGAAAAAAGAAGAGTTGTCTTCCAGTTATTTTCTATATTTTGTGTTGACTATGAAGGCAACTGCTTGTGTTCCCACTAACTACACATTATTTTTGCTGCAATAAGAAAAATAATTTGAAAAAATTTTTCTAGGGGTATGTATTGTACACCACGCAGAAAGTTGCTGTCTTCAACCCATGGTGCTGTGATTTTCTTCAAGACTAACTTTTTACTAAACACTTTTCTCTCTATTTGCTGTTAAAAAGTTTGCAAGTTTCACAAAAGTAACTTTTCCTTAGTAGTGCCTAGTGACAATATTTTGAAACATTTGTCTTCCACAGTGTTTGCTTTTGCCATGATGGCTGCCTAAACTCAAGTCTCCCTACTGGACAGCTTCTTACAAATTTCTCCAATAATCACAAAGTAATTTTCCAAGAGTGGAATTACTCCTTCTCCTGTGTGACCCTACAGTATTCTGTTTCTACCCCTCTAAATCTCTCATCATTGATTCAGACATGTTATTCACGCTTTCCAGGAGAGTTCAGCACAGAAAAGACTCAATAGTTACAGACCTGGATTTGCAAGAGCATTTTTTTCAGGTTGCCCTCTTCCTATGTTAATGTTTCAACAGAATGACTGGGCATCCTTTTCCTAAATCATCCAAGTGAGTTGCAAATCTTCAGTAAAGATAAAAGTTTGCTGAGGAATCACAGATTAGACGCAAAGTTTGTTGGCATCTGTTGGTGACTTCAGTCTAACCATGGTAAGTGCTATTCATCACAATCCTGGTTTCTTCTGATTCAGAAATAAACACATGGGCCTCAGCCAGCCGCTCACCTGTTTTTATATGGCAGGTGAATGGGCTTACGTTTTTTAAATAGTTGGGAGGAGCAAAAGAAGATGATTTGGTGACACATGAAAATTATATGATAATTAAAGGTCAGTATCTATAAGTAAAGTTGGAGCACAGCCACTCCTGCTCATTGACTTTGCTATTGTGCCACTAATGTAAGACTGAGACACTGTATGGCCCAAAAAACCTAAAAATATTTACTTTCTGGATCTTTGCAGAACACATTTGCTTGTGGGGGTGGGGAAGGAGATGAGAGGAGGGTTAATACAGTTGAACAGAAGGAATAAGATTTCATGTTCCCTTGCAGAGTGGGCCGACTATAGTTAACAGTAATGCATTTTATATTTCAAAACAGCTGGAAAAGAGTTCCTTGAATTTACTGTCTTCCCAACACATAGAAATGACAAATACACAAGGAGATGAATATTCTACACACCGACTTTATCATCACACAGCCTATGCATGTAGCAAAATATTACAAGTACCCAGAAACATGTACAAATATTATGTATAATTAAAATATTAATTTTAAAAATCGTTGGTAGGATGAGTTGGCACATGCCTGTAATCCCAGTACTTTGGGAGGCCAAGGAGAAAGGATTCTTGAGTACAGGAGTTGGAGATCAGTCTAGGCAACATAGCAAGACCTTGGCTCTAGAAAACAAAAAAATAAGCTGGGTGTAGTGGTATGTGACTGTGATCCCAGTTACTCAGGAGGCTGAGGCAGGATTGCCTGAGCCCAGGATGTTGAGGCTGAGGTGAGCTGTAATTGTGCCACTGCACTCCAGGATGTGTGACAGACTGAAACCCTGACTCAAAAAACAAAAAAAACAAACAACAAAATTTGCTGGCCCTTGAACTAACTGATTCCTAGACTTCATTTCTTTTTTGATTCCTAGACTTTAACCTGCTCTATGAATTCTCCACCCAACTTTCTTTATCAGATAATAAAATTGTAAACAAGGAAACAGGATTTGATCTTTATTTTTAAAAATAAATATAAAAATTTTATTTTAGATATGTATATTATATATATTATATATGAGTAAAGTTTATTTGATTTCAATTATAGAAAGAAATACATATATCTTCATTATAGAAAAAATGCTCAATAGGAAAAGTAATCGAAAGAAGAGGAAAACACAATCCCATCTCACCAAGGCAATCTCTGATTGGATTTTGCTGTATTTCCTTCTTGGTGTTTGCTTTATTTCGTTAAGTTGGAGTCTCACTCTGTCACCCAGGCTGGAGTGCAGTGGCACACTCATGGCTACCACAGTCTCAATCTGCAGGGCTCAGGTGGTCCCGCCACCTCAGCCTGGAACTACAGGTGCATGTCACCACACCTGGCTAATTTTTTTGTTTATTGTAGAGATGAGGTCTTGCCAAGTTGCCTGGGCAGGTCTCAAACCCCTGGGTTCAGGCAATCATCTCACCTCAGCCTCCCAAAGTACTGAGATTACAGGTGTGAGCCACTACACATGGCCTTTTTTCTGTTTTTAATATGCTTTTCTAATACAAGAGTAATTCAGCATCATTTTTTTAAAAAATGGGTATAAGAGATTTAAAAGTCACTCCTATTCCTGACCCCCTAAGAGATAGCTACTTGACATTATTTAAATTTCCCTTTAATGTTTTCTATAACCAAAATTGTACTTTCAAAATATGAATCATCCTCATCTATATAATTTGGTAACATGAGGGATTTTTAATTTCTAAAACTTAATCATGAGCACTCTCCATGTTTCTATTTCAATGTATTTGTGATCCTAAATGTGTATTCAGATTTGTACGGTTTTTTTCCACTTATCACACAACTGCATGCCTAGGGGAAATGTTCTTTCTGACTAGCTTTTCTATTTCTCTGAAAATAATCCTAAATATCACCAGACGCTTAAAAATTCCTACCCCCAAAAATCCCAACACTAAGAAAACGTGTTATTTCCTTGCTTCCAGCTTTTAATTCTAAAGATTTTTCAAAAGAAGAAGTAGGCTTAAGTAATTTGTCTTAGAAATGTATGGGTTTTTTAAAAAATGTTCAGCTGACTTGGATTCACCCCTTCATTCCTAGCTGACTTCTTTCTATTGTTACATTCTGATTTTCTGTTGTTTAATTTAGTGCACAATATTTAAAATCCCTGTAAACCCACTACGTTAAGTGCCCAGTTGAGTACTTCTCAACACCAGTTGTTCATTAGAAACACCTGAGGTTGAGCCCATCTAAGGATACCAAAAACACACCTAGGCTGTGTTAACAACATTCTGCCGCCTGG